TAAATTAATTAATTATAAATTAATTATTTAAAAAATTAATTAATTTAAATATTAAGTATAATTTATAGGATATATACTTTCTTTATAATGCCATTACATATTTCTATTAATATAAAAAGTTTCAGAGCTTTTTATTCACTTTACTTTTTTGGAATTTTATGAACTGAAAAATGACAGTTTTCGTGAGAATGACCCATATATATATATATATAATTTAATCGTGTTATTAAGTTACACTGGCTCAACATTGTTAGAATTTTCTTTCTAAAATTGTAGTAAAATAACAGGCAACAGTCTGTTCATCTAATTAATCGTAAATTTTATGGTAAAGAACATTTTTTTTTACCTTTAAGGTTATCGTTCACTACTAGTATAATTACATAACCGTGAATATCAAACTATGCGGGTTTTTGATAATTTACAACTAGAATGGTATTAAAACTGTAAAAGAAATTTAACTGGATATTGGAGATAGTTTGCAGTTCTATGTTGCAGCCATCTATGAAGGGGACTAACGCATTCTTACAGCACCTAGTCACACATGTGAAAAGCAGGAGACTAAAAACTCTTCATGTCTTGAAGAAAATAGAGGAAATATTGTGATGTCAACGCTGGGAATTGAACCCCTGTTCTGTCGGTAATGATATGGACAGATTTGTCCTTTCGACTATAATATGTACCCATCTGCAAGGAACTAAGTGGTTGGTACAGATTGTGAGAAAAAGTTCAGGTTGTTTAACTGTATGATATGAAAGCCGTTAATAAATGGTTTTTTCTCATAGTTATAACAGTATGAATACCATTTTATTTATGGTTATTTGACTGTTTTGTTTGATTACAGTAAAATAACTATTAAATAAATCTGCTAGTTGTAGTTTGAACCTTTTTCTGAGAAATTTCTATCAGTGAATAACATTTTAGAGGTACATGTTAGAATGATGCGTCACATGCAAGCACTTCATTAATATTCTTCAAAGCAGATATTAAATAGATTTTAAAAACAAATATTGGCTAATTATTCTTTTTTTTTCAATTTTTCACCCGTTTCTGTTGTTTATATACATTTTACGAGTTAATGTTAGAATGAAAAACTAAAAACTGTTGTGTCTCCAAACACAGTTATTTAAAATTTTCGGTATAGGAAAACTCCACGAATTAGTTGTTTCAAGTTTCCAAGTAGCACTATGTTTATGTTTATGTTATGCATATGTTTAGGACTTCATTTTATAAAGTGTACTAGCAAGTGCACTAGATTGAAACAGCTATAGCTAATAAGATAGATTAAAAACTCCCAAAATATCGAAATAAAATAATGCCAGTGTATAGAAACAAAGAAAAGAAATTACCTCCTGCTTCTTGTGGCATAAAATCTAACATTTCATTTAGCATTGTATTTATTGTTTCCATGTCCCTGAAAAACAACAAAATATAAATGATTCTTAGTTAAAAGAATTAGTTATGAAACAATTAATAAAGCATTAGTTTCTGAAAGTATTTCAACTTAATTATGTTTCGTTATTTGACGTTTAATATTTACTAAAAGGTCAAAACAAACCATCTTGTATTAGAGATGAACACAAAAATTAATAAAAATTTTTTTTTACATGGTTCATCTGGTCAAAAGAATCCGTGTACTAAGTGCTACTTACTCGGTGATTCCTGATCTATATATTACTATAATGTTGTTTTCCCTTTTGTATTGATGACAATCACCATAAGTCTAGGAATACTTTCTTTCAATTCTTGGTAGGTGGATATAGGAATTGGCTTACAATTGTCCATCACTGAAGGAATGGATGATTTGCTGACAACGTAATTTATTTATATATGGAATCTAATTTATTTAGATATAGTCTCTAATTTATTTAGATATAGGCTTTGATTTATTTAAATACAGACTCTAATTTATGTAGATATAGGCTCTAGTTTATTAGATATTTTGTAAATCCATTGCTGACCCAATTGTGCAGTTATGGAAATTCCTTCCTTGAAATGTTTCCAAAAAAATGGATGAGCTTTATTGTCCAGAATGTCTACATACATGTTAGAATTCATGTTTCCAACGTCAGGAACAAGGAAGCCCTGACCATCGGCCATGAAAAATAACCTTGTCAGACCGCGACTCATTTCCTCAGGTCAGTGTCAAGAGATACATTTAGATAGACAGATTTCGTAAATTATTATTAATAACTTTTTTTGGAAATAAATCCATAGCATAAATGAAGTTTAGAAATTGTAGAAACTTGTTTATTGGAAAGTATTCAAAGTTTAAATTTCCGAAATGCGAGTTAAATTACCAAATACAATACTGCATACAAGTCAAAATACCTAATACAAGTTATGACAGACCCGGAGGCTATGCATGCATATGTGGCTATGGAAAACAGTAATTAAATAAATAAATAAAATTTAGATAAAAAAAATCACAGTTATCTACAGTAATCACAGTATTAGAATTAATTTAGTTCGCAATGATTTCGAAATTGGGCAATAAATGTTCAAAAATCAAATCGGTTATGAAAGTTTTTAAATATTAGTACTGGACCTTTGGAGACATAAAATTGATCAGTTAATAGGATTAGCAGTTAATAAGATTTACTTATAACAAAAAGCAGTTTTAAAATCTGCAACGAACATTATCAAGTTAAATGCTATATGATAATATATGAAGCATTTAAGTATACGATCTGCCATATAAATGTAGATTATATTGGAGATGGTTAAGCCTCGAACGGGGAAGCTTTTCTATTGACACGGATTGCAAAAAAAGCTCCAAAAAGAACTCTTATTGTTTTTACTAAAATATTAAGGTTACTGATAATTTTTGTAATACGATATATAATATGATGATAAAAAATATATCACTACCAAATTATAATTATATAGCAATCATTACTTGATCCGAAACAATTGAATTGAGAAATATTTGTCATTTAAATTAGATCTATGAAATATTCTAATAAATACAACACTAAATATACTACACAATAGTAAAAATACACTTATTTACCCATCAGTTCCAATCGTCTACTCATATTTCTTCAAAGGAACTGTTTTAGAGCTAAACTTTCTAATATGTAATGTATCCGCATTTTTTATTATCCCGGGCAATGTATTCATTATAGGTAATGTATCATTACATTCCGGGCAATATATCATTACGTATGGTATGTATTAAGGGGAATCTGTAGAGCATTTAAAAATAATGCTAAAACTATCCTTTTTTGATGTACCTTTTCTAAGAAACTACTCATATCATTTTGAAATTTCCTCGGGATTTTGAGATTATATTAGTTGCATCATGTGATAATTTTAGCGTTAATAAGAGTACTTTTTGAATTGAAAACGATTTTTGATGAAATTTTTAAAAAAGTTAAAAGTTCTCAGTTTATAATTTTTAAAAATGTTTTTTGTCAAAGATATGTATTAACAGTTATCATAGTGTAACCATGTAAAGGTAAATATTCTGTGAAAAAAAACTGAAGCAATATCTTGCTTAGATGCTGAGGAAAGGTACATCGAAAAAGATCAGTTTTAGCATTGTTGGAATATGTCCTACGGACTTTCCTCAAAGTATACATATAACAGAATATAATAATTTTTCACGTGAAATTTGATTCGTGATAATAATTTTTCACGTGAAATTTGATTCATGAAATAAGGTCTCTTACGAACTCGATTCAAAAACAAATTACGGCTGCAATTATATTTCCGGAAATAATAAAAAAATATACAAATTTAAAACTATACAAGAAACTATAATGAATAAAAGATAATTTTAAATGAGCTGCAAATAGAAAATTTAAGTTTATGGTAAAACGTATTTAAAGGTAGATTTATTGAATTATACGATATAGGATGATTAACTGAACCAACCATTAAATCCATTACCTTTGTATACATACAAGTTCTTCCTGATGATAATCATGTAAGGGGGCTCTCCATAAAATCAGTTTGTCCAACACTGCTACCCCAGAAGAGCGTGGCCTTCTTTCTACAAGATATTAAAAAATATAATTCTTGAAAACTAAGATTGTTTATGATCCAAATAAATAAAAAACGAACGCTGTGTTGATAAGGAAGTATTTAGTAATTCTCTCCATAATGTATTTAATTTAAACATTTTTCAGCAGAAAGGATTATAAATTTAAAAAGAAAATGAAAATAATATTTTTTTTCTGAAACCATTTAAAACATTATAACTTATCTTTAAAATATACATATAAAATCTTTAGAAACCAAAAAAATTTAAAACGTTCAATATTTTATTAGACTGATATATTTTTATAGTACTATGAGGATTGTTTAGTTATTTGTGAATATAGTTTATAAGGAAGTTATACAGTGTAAAAAATTCTAGATTACATCAAGTACTGGCACTTTGAATTCAACATTCGTGAAAGCCATTTTTTCACTGTAAATTATTATACCGTAATTTTTACAGATATTACATGTGATCACATTTACATGTGATTAGAGTGATAAAGTGATTGTACGATAATTAGTGCTGTGAAAATTGTGAGATATCATATTTTATTCTTCGGTAAAAATGGATTTTACCGTAGTTTAATTCAAATTTTTTTACAATGTAGTAATTTTTTTTTTTTTTACATTTCAAAGAAAAAATGTTAGTCTTAATTTGGTCATAAACATCATCTCCACAAATCAGAGGAATATGCACTAAAAAAATTATAACTTTAAAATAAAAATGATGTTTCCTTCATTTTTTTCCGTTAGTGAAATTTGCTGATATTTAAACTGATGAATAAATTTCTATCAGTATTTATCAATTTAATTGCATATGCGACGCCTCCCGGCAGACGAAAGGGCTTGAAATAAAATACTGATACGTTACGTTTTTCAAACATTTTTGAGAGTATTTTATGTGTCAGCATTAAATTTCTTTCTCGCGAGAGAATTAGGTTTGTGAAATTTTTTGTGAATATCCGTAAATTGAAATTGTGCTTTTTTGTGGATATTCTGTACATCGTGAAAACTTTTAATTTTTGGAAATAGTGGGAGTTATTACTATATTGCCTATTGACACTCAATTCTACTAGTGCTCCAGTTATTTTTAATAGTTTTTTTTACACGCAAATTAAATATTTTATAAAATTTTCCGTTTAAAATATCATTATATTTGGACATTAAAACCCTTTCTATTCAAATACAAAATAATAATTAAGATTCAAAAATGGCTGTTTAATTTCTTTTTATTTTGTCGACTAAGGAGAAAATTAAAACCAGACAAAGGAAAAAGCCTTTTTGATTAATAGTGTTATTAATTTCCTTTCGATTGTTTTTTTCAGCAAGCGCTCTTAGTGGCTTGTGGCGACATTTCCAGGCATGGTTTCCTACGCCGAATTTATCCTGAAGATGTGCTCTAACTCCCCAAGAAGTTTACCTCATCATTTATAGGAGCATGTTTTGTATAACGTTTTTAAACTTTTATAAATTAACAAAACATAGAGTAAAAATATAATTATTAAAAAACACAGTAGCTTGGAGAGAGAAACCAATTGCATATTTTAAAGCAACGATACAAAACTGTCTAAGACCTGTTGCCCTCTCATGCATTTTAATTATCTAAAACCATCTGTCACATGAGAGAAAAAATTCTCTAGTGTATTTGTTTCTTATATTTTTAGTTTAAAAACATCTTCTTTTTTTTGGAAACATAATAAATTAATGAAGGGTTGATATGATACCATAAAAATTTGTCATGTCCATTGGATGAGCAACCACAAGCAATCTGCATTTGTGAATTTCTCGTAGAAGAAGTTGAGTGCAGCAGACTAAATTCACCAGATGCTGACTGTCCACTGGTATGCCTTCAGCGACGTCACTGAAAAATAACAATAAACCGTACATACACGTGTGTGAGCACCATAATCATGTCATAGATCAAATTATTTACCGATTCCAGATATGAGGAAAAAGTTATAAAAATAAAAGAAGAAAAACGTTCTTAATACATTGTAGAAAATTCTGTCTCAGAATCGAGCCAAAATGAGTCAAACTAGCTCCGATAGTCACATTTGAAAACTCCATGTCTTCAAAACTTAAACAGTATGCATGCTAATTTTTCAACAAAATACATGAGTGAAATGCTGGAGAAAGATACTCATTGGCTGCCGGCAGGATTCAAACCAGTCCAAAGAGAGTAAGGAAGCATTATATAATGACAGCCGTTATCGCACATCATGATTTACATTCCATTTGCTTATAAGTGTTTGAGATTTAGCGAAATAAGCAAAAAGTGATATTAAAATTACCGATCTCCCTACTGCGCTTTTGGAACCTTATTTTGGAACTTTTTATATCATCGAAATTTGAAATTAGTATGCTACGATGTGTCATTGCGGTGGTAACCATACTCTCCCTGGATTGGAAACCTACTTTCTAAATTGCAATCTCCTTATGCAACTAAAATTTGAAATTAGTATACCATGATGCGTCATTGTGGTGTTCCCTTCCACCACAAAGCTTCCTAACTCTATCTTGATTGGGTGTACTCTCCCCGATTTCCTAAATTGTAACCCATTATACCATTGGAATTTGAAATTAGTATGCCATGATGTGTCTTTGCGGTAGTCATTATACAAAGCTTCATAACTCTCTCTAGATCAGGGTGCACTTTCTTCGATTGCAAACCTATATCCCGTGTTGCAACCCTTTATAGCATTGAAATTTGAAATTAGTATGCAATGGTGAGTCATTGCGGTGGTCACTATACAAAGCCTACTAATTCTCCCTAGATTGGGGTGTACTTTCTTGGAATATAAGCCTATATCCTAAGTTGCAACCTTTTACAACATTCAGATCTGAAATTAGTGTGTCATGATGAGCCATTACGGTGGTCAAAGTTTCATTACTCTACCTAGATTGGAGTGTACTCTCCGGTATTGGAAACTTATATCCGAAATTGTGCGCAATGACACTTCCAATGACACATGATGGCATACTAATTTCAATTATACCATTAAAATTAGTATGCCATCATGTGCCATTGGGATGGTCACTATAAAAAACTTTCTAACTCACTCTGGATAGAAGTGAACAGATGTGGTGGTTAGAGCACATTACTACAAGCACAGAGGTCCATGGCTCGAATCCTGCCGACAACCAACGAACATCTCTCACACGCATTTCACACACGTATTTTAAGCAAAAATGAGTGTAATCTGTTTCAATTTTGAAGACATTGGGTTTTCAAATTCGAATATTATTTGTTTCTGATCTATTTAAACACAATTTTGCTCAATTTTGAGGGGAAAAAAACGTTTTTTCTAGTGCAGTTATAACTATGCAATTTGATTTATTAATTTAATAAGACTTACAATCTTTGTGTATTATACAACATGAAGAATGAACTCATTACAATTTAAACGTTATTGATCAAGTTTTTTAAACGTGATAAAAATAAATTTTATCATTATTTTAAATAAAAATGTTTTGACCATTTAGACTATTATACTTTTTGATGCTTCATACTATTTACACTGGTTATCATAAATTAAGGAAAATTCACANTTTTCCTTAATTTATGATAACCAGTGTATTTTGTAACCATTGCATTTGAGAAAACGTGCTTGCATTTACTTTTATTCATTATTCAACCTGTCTTCACTATTTTCGTTTCTTAGTTTCAACACAATCTTCTTCTACTTTCAGTAACTAAATTGTTTTAAAGTGAGAACTTATATAATAACCCAAAAAAATAAAAAAAAGGAAAGAATCAATATTTTATAATAATAATCAGGTTTTTTAGCTGCTAAAATAATCCAATTAATATTTTTTTTGCCTTAATTGCAGTTTTTCTCTAGTAATTATCCGTTTACTGTCAAAAAATGTTTGTTTATCTTTATTTAAAATTTCTTGACTGTCAAAATAATATCGGCTTCTTTTTTCTAATAATTTATCCATCGCTATTATAGATCATGAAACTGAAAGCAGCAAAATAATCTTGATTTTATGAAGCATGACATTTTCTTTTATTATTTTACAGCTTTATAAGGATTATAAAAGGAAAAAGACGTAAATCAATTGAATATATAATCAGTGGGATTATTTCTGATTCTTAAAATTAAGTAATATACTAAATTTCTGATTATTAAAATTAAGTAACAAACTAAAGTTGTAAGCTAATCGCTTTTTTCCGAGATGTAATACGCGTTAAATCCCTTTAGTTAGTCATAGAAAGCAAAATTATAATGTATTAAAAGCATATTTTAGTTGGGTATTGCTGATTATTACCGACAATATTTGTTTACCATTAAGAATGCAAGATTCAGAAGCAATAAAAAGCATTCATTTTTTAGCTTGCAATTTTGAAAAAAAAGGGAAAAAAATGAAGAAAAAAAAAGGTTTTTCGATTAGCAGGAATATTTTTTCTCGATATTAAGAATTAAAAATTCAGGAACTAAGGGCTTTCAAAATTTCAAAATTAAATAATTCGCTGCTTCTTTTATCGAACTGAAAATAAGTTTTCAGAGTATAAATTCAAGAAATTTTTTTTAAAAAAGAAGCTTAAAAAGAAAAAGAAGAGCAATCCTTTCGTTAAATCAACGAACACTTTATTTTTTTTTTCTAAACTACTACAAAATAATGGATACACTTTATCAGTACTTGCATTCATATGTAAGTAAAACCATTGCTATAAAAAATAATCATAAAATAATCTGTACAAATCAAATTCAAAATTACATAATTTACCTTCTTGAGCTTTTTTAAAAACCTTTTTCAAAGATCGCAAGGAAGGTAAAATTTTTTAGAGGTAAAGATTAAAGGTATTTTTTTTAGAAGAAATAAAAAAGTTAACATTTAAAAAACACAGTCTTTAGAAGAGTTTAATATGAGTTTACAACAAAGATTACTTTTTTTAATTCAAATTAAAAAGTTTATTTAATTAATAAAGTATCAACGTAAGCTTTTTACCCATCTTATCTTTCTGCCCAGAAAAGTAATTTTACATTTTTTTGAAAAAGAAATGCAAGCTTTATCGAAAAACTTATAACAACATGAGCAACGTAATATGTAATTCTCCTAATCAAGACGGAAATTTGCATTTATATATATTTTACTTTTTTCCCTACTTCAAGCGTCGATAAACTTAGTTTTTTCATTTTACATATAAAATTAATATTCCTGATACAAAAAGTTCCACGAAGTTAGTCGCAGATAACGAATCAATATTTAGCGAAAAGAAAAAGTATTAAAACAACAAATTTCAGAAAATCACGACCTCAAATGCTTAGAAGTTAATTTTTTTTTCATCTTCTAATTTCATTTTAGATTTTCAAAGATGCATACATATTTTTTTTCAATCTATTTTCAAATTTATACAGAATACGAATTTTCGACTTCTTAATTATATATTGTTTTAATAGTTGAAACAAAAGAAATAGTTGAATGAAAGAAATATGGCGGATCAAAAATTTCCTTAACTAAATAAAATAAATATATGAAATACTATGCTTGTTTTTGAAATGTTTTGAAAAAATCTGATTGAGATTCACATTTTTATTGGAGGATCAAAGCAAAAAATTTGATTCATCAAAAGCTTTCAAACTCTTTAATTATGAATAAGATATTCTGTATGATTAATGTATAAAAAGTAGAAGAATCAAGGAATATAATTTTATTTCATACAAGAAAGTTTAAAAGTTTTTCTTATTGTTGTTTCGGCTTAACTAAATATTAAAGATAAATTTGTACACAAAAAAAACTTGTATTCAATGCAAAAGAGTTAGGATTGTTTCTCATTTACCATTAAAAAAGAAAAAAATCATATTAAAATATTATTATTTTCATTAATAATTAACAAGTTAAATTATTTTATTTCAAAGTACGACTGCGTTATTACAAATTTCTTTTACACTTACAGCTAAAATATTATTCTTGGGAACTTTAAACAATATTTTATAAAAATAAAAGTACTGTGCTAATAATTACACACAGATTTATTAATTAAATGTTTATGATTTAAATCTCTATACAGTATTAATAATGGTAATACGTTTAGTTAATGGTAATGATTTTATTCAATAAGTTGTATCACATGTAAAATATTTCGTATAGTTTTCGCTTCTATCAAGTCCTTTAATAAAAATTTCCAAGCACTGATTCAAAAAAAAAAAAAGAAAGGAGGAATAAGAATACATTTCAGTTGGTGAACAAGGCTTTTTTTTTCTTTATTTCACAAGTATTTGATCCAACCATTATAAGGTGCTTTTACCAGGTGATGATTGTTTTAGTTGCTCACAGAAGCAAGAGAAGAACATTTATTTATCCAAGCACACCACCAGCACCCCAAGGTAGAAATTTAATTTCAGGAAAATAATTAAATATTACTGGCACGTTCTGTCACAAATGAATTTTTCTTTTTGAACAAATTAAAGTAAATGTTAAAATTTTATTGGCAGTTTCACTCAAACGTATTATCAATTAATTTGAACTGAGCAGAGGCAAGCAAAAATCAGGAAAAAAATTCCGCCCATCCAATAGCCTAGCCACTCACCCTTCATAAAAGAAATTATAATAAGCTTTTGCATAAGCTTTTTTTTTTGGTAGTTTCCATCAAAAAAATTTTCAATATATCTGAATAGAACAAAGGCGATGATCATTGTAACTGCTTACAGAGAAGTAAAGAGAGTTCATCCATTCAACTACTCAAGGTAGAAATTTACCTTCATAAAAAATAATAAAATTTCAGTGGTAGTTTTCATTAAATGAATTTTCAATTTATATGACTTCAATTAAGGCTATGAAATCTTATTTCAGCCTGCTCTCAGAAGAAGGCAAAACAAGTCCATCAAGCAGATCATCCGGCAAACTTCCCAAGGT